GTCACGACGAGGCGCACATGCATTTCTCCCTCCACGGCAATTACACTTTTACGATGCCTATACGCGCGCGTATAGTTGGACTCTCTTCGAAGTCGTTCTTCTCCCCTTTTTACGAGCGCTCGCGCGTACTCGTATTCCTCGTTTCCTCGACGCGACGCGCCCGGAGACGAACCGACCGTGGTCGCGGCTGTAATCGACGAATTATCGCGACGAGCTCGTACCTCAATAATGCAACGCGTCGCCCCGACGTCGTTCGTTACTCGGCACGAATTAACATCCTGACAATCCTCCGTCAGCGTGTTGATCGACGTCGCCGGGCTATTTTCCCCCGGCCAGACAGGTCGGGATTACCGGCGAGATGTAAAATGTAAAGTGCGCATTTTTCTCGCTGCAAAATTAATTTTCGGAGCACACCTCGATTAGTTCTTTTTCTCCCTTCTTTTCCTCCTCCTTCTTCGTTTTTTCCGGAACACACGCGCGTTTCAAAACGCTGCTGTAGAAAATTACACGAATGACAAGCTAAATATGGACCCGACTGCATTTCCCTTTTTTTATATATATAAATATTGGCAAGGAACAAATTTCGCGTTGATTTTCTCTCTGGTTGTTTTCTTTCTTCTCGTTTCTACGAGATAGAGGTAAAAAAAAGGAAATATATTCTTTGTAGTCGATACTTTGTTATTTCAAACATTGGATTACGCGAAATTACATTTCTCTGCATAATTAATTCTTAAAACCTTCTTTGCTGGCTGTGCACATCTTCATTAATTAAAGTACTTTTCTCTTTTAGTCCACTTTGTTTTATCTTTTAGTACAACACACAACGTGTTTTTAAGCTGCATTAGAATCTGTTAAGACGACGGTGGGCTCGCAATGCGGCGCGTGTTGCGCAATGCAACAGAATACGGGCAAGGTGAATGCATTTAAAAGTCCGCTCCGCGCGGTAATACGAAGTACCAAGGATAAACGCGAAGTACCGGATTTGCGGAATCAAGTTCTGAATGTAATCGGCCTTAATCGTTTTTCGTTATCGGTTACACCGGTCGTAAATGTTTAACGCGACGAAATTACCGCCAATGATGATTACGACGACAACAGACGGCTGTCGATATCTCGACTCGGCATCCGCGCGCATCAACTCCCGATATTTATGTTAATCGATATGGCGAGAAGTGGACTTAAGTGTCGTTCATACGTTGCGTTACATCTCGCAACATCGCGGCGCGAAATTGTATTGCATTCCGTCTGCATTTCATCGATAGCGTCTACATCGGATATTAACTATCGTTGCGAATATTTATTTTTTGAAAATAGAAGGACATTTTTACATATTAAATACGTCTTTCTTTCTAACAATTGAATTAGATGTTCGCTAAAATTTCATTCCACGAGAACGAGAGAAAATTCGCAAATTAAATATTTTGTTTCGGTAAATATAGTTATCAAAGAAATATTCAGGATATATAGAACTTTCCTATATTGCCAATGTTATGATCAAAGGCCCTGATTAATTGATTACTTTGACGCGACGCGACTGTATTACTAAAGTTTCGAGTTTCAATAAAGTCTCGCCAGAGATTCCAGATGAAACAATTTCTATATTTGTGAGAGGAATGGTTCAATAAAAATATTTAATAAAAGACGGAGATCCGAGATTTAAAAGAAGGAAAGATTCTCTAACGCTTTTTTGAACATATATACATATCTTGTTTAAATATCTTAGAATTCGAACTTTCACTCTGTTATTTGCACACATTTATAAATCTGGAATATGTCGACATGCATATATACACACATATTATTGTTACGATTTTTATATGAGCAGTATATACTTAAAATAGACAATCTTCGCTTTTCTTTCCCTCGAAGCTATGAGCGAATCAAGTTATAAAACTTATAACTGCGCCACGATATATGAACGTTTATCTCCCAACGAATATAACCGGTTTCATTATTTCTTTCTTCTGTGAAGTCTTTTTTTATATTACCATGACATTTTTTATATAATTATGACCGCGTGACGACTTTGAAATTCGATCAAAAATCGTCCTCGATATCTTCAACCTCGAAAAGAAGTGAGTCATCGGCGAAGACGAAAAAATTCGCGCTAAATCGGCGCGAAATCTCGATATTTTGGAAAGAAAGAAAGCTTCTCAGACCAGTAAAGGTTACCACACATAGAAAAGTAATCGCTTTTTTGAATGGCTAACCCGAACCATTCGAGCTTGAATCGTTTCTACTTCGAACCGGTCGACCGTGCAATTCCTACGAATCTGTGCCCGGCTCCCAGTTTTGACGCATCGACGCGAATAAAGGATTTATTTTCGTCCTTCCCGTGAAAGTTCGCCGCGTTCGAATGAGGGGAAAAAGGAGCTATCGAAAATTCTCGTAGAAAACGCGCGGCAGTGAAAGCTCCTCGGCGCGTTATTTGCCAAGGTTTCTCGCCGCCGGGTAGTTTCTCCGGTTGGTATTATTATAGCAAATGCGGATCCCTCCATGCAAAAAACTGGAGTGGAGAGAACACAGCGCGTGCGGTGTATAGCACCGATCGACAAGCTGCCACGCGGATAGAAATCGATTTAACTGTAATTGCCGGGCGTCGTTATCCGGCGCGTTGCGTCGTTATCCTCCGTAATCGGCGTACATACGTTGACACGGCAGAAAAGATTCCATCCGATTTACGTCGACCGCCCCGATAAACTCGCCGAAAATTCATTGGAACTTCCTTCCTGAATTTAGAAACCTGCACGCGTTAACTCGGCGTTATTAAGGTGAAAACATGAAAATATAGCACGATTATTAATGAGATGATTTTTTATGAAACCCGAGCTAATTTAAAAAGTAGCTGTAATAACATAAAACTTTTTGGATTAAGTTCGGCTCTTAGACTCAACTTATGCCAATAAAATTATATGGTATAATTTAAAATAATAAAAAACTTTTTTGTTACAAAGATACGGAACGGTTGTAAAAATAACACTGTTTATAGTACCTAAGCTTCGTCAAAATAACGTCGGATTAACCCGCGAGGGAATTATTTATTGCGTGAACAAGCAAAACCCGAGTTTTTTTACATACTTATACGAATGATAGAATAAAGCATGACTTTTCAGAGATATGAGAAAGAGATTATTTTCATACGGTTGGTAAATAAAAAGTGGTAACGATAATCGATGAACATGAAAATTAAAAGGACTCGAACGTTCTTGAAATGACCGGTCTTTATGCCAATTCGCTGATATAATTTCGTCGAGTCCGTGCTGCGGTTACTGTGGGAACGTATAAACGAAACGCGACCTTCCTCATATCTCATCGAAAATTGATTCCGAAATCCTAGCGGTTTCAGATCCCCCGTTTTAATGCGCCGTACTGAGCGGGACTAATGCGAATGTTGCCGGCGAGTATCGGCTATCATTTCTATCATCGCCCGATTCAAAGCAAACTAATCTCTGTCCGGCTCCAATCGTGGCCTCGTCGGTCTAATATAACCACTGATTGTCACCTTCGTTCAAACATGCGACTGATTTATTCGTCGTTATCGCATGTCAATCTTGGTCGCGTGCTAATCGACATTATGACACTACGGAACGCGTGTAATAAAACGTTCTTTTTTTGTATTTCAGGTGAGGTGAGTCGCCGTTTCCAAGAGGAGATCGTCCACGAGAACTTGGTTTATGCACGGGTATTTCAGAGGGAGGAACGAACCTCCGCCCCTCAAGTCTAATCCTGAGCCAGAAGTTCGAAGACTTACTTAGTAAGTAGTAAAAACGAGCAATCGTCCGTCAAGATCTCCAAGACGTATGAGACTACGTAAAACAAAAAAAATCTGCCAAGTAAAATTAAGAAGAACCGGCAAAGCCTCTTATATATCTTGCCTTGAATATTCTGTTGAATAATGTATTGAGAGTAATATTGAAAATTAATATTAAAAGTCTAAAAATCCTCCTAAAGTTATTTAAAAATTACACAAACGAACGAATCCGTGAGTTAAAATTTGCAGAACTTTTAATTAAAACGCATTTTGCCCTCCATTAATTAAACTAATTTAAAACCGAATAAGAGTCACAATATGCGCTTTCTTCGTTAGCCGAGCGCAAAAAGTTACGCTGCAGGGTTCAGCGTTCTCCGTGGTGTATCAGTAACAGTACGAAAAGTGATACGCTCTTGAGCGTAAACATTCTATCAGAATGAAGGATAAAGAAAGAGAACGATAGCACGATAAACATTCACGCATGGTTATCCTATCCGATACGCGACGGGGCTTCTTTCCTTTCCTCGGTGACGGTAAACTTCCTGCCGGCCCGATACCGGTGTGACAATGACCGGTTGGTCGCTATATCTGCAGCGAGCGCGTGTTTCCGACGTAAGCCTCGTGTTCGCGCGAATTTACACGAGACATTTTAGATCGTTCCGTTATTTAATGTAATCATTTAGATTGCTCCACTATTACATATTTCAATATAATTTTTTTAAATTCTGGTGTGTAATGACGACTCGTCGGAACCCATACAGCAGAAGTATCCAAAATATATTGTAAGGATAGCCTAAAGATACGAGTACTTTTTTGGGATATCTTTAGAATATCGCTATGATGTATTTCGAATATTTCTATTATATGGGAATAAATTTAAATCGTTCCACAAATTTTTATCAAACCGTAAACATATTTAATGAAGAAATTCCTGCAGCGTTTTACTTAAAACGATAACCAGATATCTAAACCAGATAATATTAGATAAACTTTGTTAACTTTGTTCACTGATAAAAAGTCGTGTATTCCAAAACTGATGAGTAGTCTCTTTTTACACCTCTCGAAATTTCGTGAAAATCAAATATTAAGGAGATCCACGTGGTCGACCCCCTTGACACGAGTTCTTCCGACGTTGCAGACATTGGCGGGGCGCAGGAGGAAGAGAGGGTGGGCGACGAGCGTACGGTGAACCGGAAGCGAACGCGACGGTGGCCGGCTCGGTCGAGGAGTTCGCGGCGACGCCAGGGCCGCGCATGCTTCAACAACGAGGCTGTATAGCAGCAGCAACGACACCCGCATCGACCGGCTCGGCATCATCATCATCTTTTTCATCTTCATCATCCAACATGTTCCCGCAACAGTACTGTCTGAGATGGAAGTACCATCACAGCAACCTACAAACCATGTTCTCGCAGTTGCTCGAGCGGCAGGCCTATTGCGACGTCACGCTCGCCTGCGAAGGCAAAACGTTGCGAGCGCACAAGGTAAACAGAGCAGAGATCATCGCGATAATGACACGACGTCGATGACGCGCTTTCTCATATCTTTGCGTGCATGGCTTGAAAAGTCCGTGATCGGTCATTTTGCCGAACAATGAGTATTTTTTGAATTTGTTACGCTTATTTGAAAAAAACAGGCTAGACTGAAAATAGGACAATTAAATATTGATAGACGCACGAGTAAAATTTCTCTCTTTTTTTGACAATCTCTATTGTTATTAATAATCTTCGGTAACTTCAGAATTGACATGGTATAGATTGTTCTGTAATATAAAAGATTCGAATCCGTTGAAGCTATGCCGCACTTTTCAGATATGCGTTTCTTACAAAAAAAAAAGAGAATGAAGATTAGCTTGTATAATCTTTAAATAATCTAATCGGCTCTTACGATCAACTCGTAATGGGTAACTTAATATCGCACGCGTACTCGATTGCTGTATAGACATGAATAGGTGCATTAGTACGGCGTAATGCATTAGTAATCCGCCGTGACGATAAGCATCAATCGGAAACCTGTAGCACAAAACCATGCTTTGATATGAAAGTCGACGATATAAGAAGTCCTATCGCGAAATAGAGAAATTAGTCGCGAGTGATTCAGGATACGCGGAAACTCGATTTCCGGAATTTCGCTGTAACGTGAAATTGGATTTATGACTGAAACTCGATAAGTGGAATTTCACAATTCGATTTACGGGAAATATATAATAAAATTGCCATTTTCCTCGATATTTCATCTCGAATCCGGCTCGAAACGAGCTCAGTCCCTCGCTGCATTGCGAGAGTTATCTTGTCAATTTTCAATTAAAATAATCGAGTCGATATAAGCTCCGCGGCAGCCCACGGTACTTGCGTGTGTACACGACCGAAACGAACTTGGTCGTCGCTAATTAGAGTCTCCGTCCTTGCGACTTCGTCTCTTGTCAAAACACGGTTATCGTGACGGAATGCTTAACTCAGTTTTCGGTAACGGCGGGGGAGAGACTAAATTGTAACCACGCGCTGCCAACGGCGTCTCGAAATCCTGTTTCTACTCGGAATTCCATTTCGAGCGCACCGCGAAATGACGTTTTCATCATATATGTATATGATGAGATGTATAAGTACACATATATGTATATACACACATGTACGTACAGGACGACTCACTAGTCGGCCGTTATTTTCCCCCGGAGGAGAGAGGGTAGCACTTCTTGAAATTATCAAAATTATTTCCAAAATACTGTCCGGCCAAATGTATCGTGGTATATAAGGATCCGTCTCAAAAAGACCACAATTTCGGAAAGTGGCATTCTGCCCGGCTCAACTGAATGTTCCCCCAAGCATCTCCCTTCTAATAAATCGCGCCGTTTCTAGGATGTCTTTAATGTAAAGGGTATTCCATACCATATAATTCTTTTTATCCACAATATTCTTTGATTATCCTGGAGCGAAATTTAAAAAGACACATTTGAAGTCCTCAGTTCACTCGTATACGAGTGAAAAAATGCCAAAACTGATGGTAACAACTCGTATATGAGCATCACTTCGAAATTCAAAATAGATCCAATATGACGATCTAAAAAAAAACTTATAGATAAGCTTCCATATGTAAAATACGAAATTATTCGATCTCACCAATTTTGGCACAAAATTGCTTTGATTTCGGATCCACCAGGGAACTGGTTATCTTTGACCAATGTAATCGTCGAATTTGCTTCAATAGCAGTAATATAAATCGAATCTGTGGCAATATGTTCCCTATATGTCCCTAAGTTCAATACGGACTCTAACGATATATCATCACTGTTCTATTGTATCTTCTTGTTTATTTAATGAAATTGATAGACAAGCTCAAAATTACATTAGCTACTATTAAAGCTTATCAGACTAGCTTTTCATATTTTCATATTTTTGAATCAGTATTTATAGCCAAAAAAAATACGATCTCGAGATACTGTATAGTCATAGAGGTTTCGTTGGAATGGAAGCTTAAGATCACTCAATGATTTAAGACGAGCTTATATAAGATCGGACTGTGAATAAACGCCCTTAAATCATAAAAGAATACCATTTCAGACTCTTATCTAAACCGCAAACGTTTCTCCGAGATAATTTATTCGTAGATAACGTTTTGCAATACAGAACTGCTCCGTGTTGCATAATCATATTCAATTGTTTCCAATAGAACGATTCATGCTCCACATTCGTCTGATATATGATTTAGATACGCCCACCATTGGAATCAGTCATCCGAATTACGAGGTTCGACGACTTGCTTATATCGACGGGAATTACGGTAGACGTTCAAAACAATCCGCATCTCCTCTCCCCGCGAGGGGGGGGGGAGGAGCGGCGAAGATCGCGCGTTATCTCGCCGTCGCTAATTATAGATGCGTAATCGTCCGGGTGGTGACATCATCGAAAGTTGGGTTGACGCGTGACGAGTGTCCCCGCGTGTATACGTATGTACGTATAGATCAAACGTGGAAACTCGAGGAAACCGCGGTAAGGGTGGCACCATCACCATCACTTCCCCCCTCCCCCTTTCTCCCTTCCTGCCCGACTCGATGGAGACGACCCGACTCCTGATAATTGGATTCTATTCCCAGCCAAAAAACCCGGACGATCTGTAGCAGACGACGAATGCAATCCCGTCCGGTTTCCACGGACCCCGGACTCTTGCTCTTTTTTCGCGTACACGTGTCTCTCGTTCGCTCCCGCTCCCCTATCTTTCCGCCCTTCCTGCCGACTCCGTACCTGCTTCCCTCTCCTCCCTCTATCTCTCCTCTCTCTCTCTCTCTCTCTCTCTCTCTCTCTCTCTCTCTCTCACTGGCTTGGATAAACGATAACACGATCCTTTTAATTTCCTTCAAGCAATAATCATCGTGATATGCACTCCTTGTTTGCGAAACGGTAATAATAACATCATCTGATAATCTTTCCTTGTTAATAGAGCAAATGTTTAAAGTGTTTTCTTCTCTCCGCGAGTATATCTCAAGCGCGTTATCTTAACGCGACACATTGCACGTTTTCACACACAATCCGTGCTGTCGCACGTCCACTGCAGCTGTACGAATTTATCGCAGAGGATCCTCCCTGTCTTAAATCTCTGACAATAAGCCATACACTTTTCCGGTTTATATACAACATATCGCGCACAGCGGCTAAAGAAAGTACTTGCAAATTTTTTTTAGTTATATGTTCGCGATTTTACGAATGAAATTTTTACAGCGACTTAATTTTATCGAACAAATATATGAAGACGCGTAGTGATTATATTAACATGTTCCTTATACTCTATAACAAGCAGGTACATATATTTTTACAAGTACCAGTTATATTATTATCTTCGTTATTCTTGTGCTTCAGGCTATTCAAGATCATCTTACCTATCGCAACGAAAGACAATTTTGCATGCAGTCTTTAGATCTAAATAATTTAATGAGCTTCTGTTATCTAATGCAAGTCGGATGTATTTAGACATCCTTATGCCAGATATGAGATAATGTGCTATTTTGCAAAACGTTACAATTAATATCATAAAA